CATACTTGAAATAGATTCATCAGAGTTCATTTTAAACAATTCATAACTATGAACAAGCATATCAATACGAGATTCCTTCACTTGGTTTGTACCTTCATACGTTACCTCAAGTTTGTCCCAAATTTTTTTTGCCGAATCATAGCTTGAAATTCTATTATACTCCTTAGAGTTTAATCCACAAACAAGGGTGAGTTTGGCTTTAGCATTAGCTTGCAATAACTTATGATCCCTCTCATTACATTCATCTTCAGTTTTAGGTACACTAATATTGTCTACTAATTTTATAGCGACCCCGGTCTTTTCCCATTTGATTGTTGTATCCGGACTTAGGTTCCGTAGATTCTGTCATTGTATAATTGTTGTTGTTGTCCCTTATTTTCTCATTTGGACTTATAGGATGTGTTGGGCAGGTTTGTTTCAGGGTGGTTGGGTTTAGAAACCAAGTGTTGCTGTCCAGAATTTTGGATCTTCGCTCGAGCGAGGAGTTTGTCGCTCGAGCGAGATGTTTTGTTTTGGTTCTTCGCTCGAGCCGGGGTTTGGTAGCTCGAGCGAGTGTTTGCGTCAGATTTGGACCTGTAGATGTGCATTCTTGGCTCGAGCGAGCTTTTCTTCGCTCGAGCGAGTTAGTTCGTTCTTCGCTCGAGCGATAGTTCCTTCGCTCGAGCGTGTGTCTGGTTACAGACCTGAGGGTTTGAGTTCTTCGCTCGATCGAGTTTTCTTTCGCTCGAGCGAGCTTTTGGGTTGTTGGCTCGAGCAAGGCTTCCTTGGCTCGAGCGTAGCTTCTCTGTGTCTGGTCGCTCGAGCGACCAAGTCTTCGCTCGAGCGAGCCTGTCAGGTTTAAATAGGCAGCAGCGTGTTTCAGATGGCCAACCGGGTCACAAAGCCTTCTCATGCCCACAGAAGGGAGGAGGATTTTCTTTTGATTCCAAACCCTAGGTCCGACTTCTCTCTCTCCCTACTCACCTTCTCTCTTAGATTTGATCTACTTAGGGTGTGTTTCTACCCTAGATCCTTCATATAAAAGTTAGAGTGAGGCAAGGGCTACCATTTAATCTGAGCATTTGGCGATTTGGAGCACTTTGGTTTTTGGGCACTCATCTCTTTCTTCACCTTTTGGGTTGTTTTCTTTGAGGTAGGGATTTCCTACTCCATTTTATAGGTTATGTTCTAAGTTTTGGTATTTTAATATGTTGGGAATACTTTGGTAAATTTTGAGAAAAACCCTAGTTGAATTATTGAATTAATTTGTATAAGTAATTCATGGAATTGGGAAAAAATGGTTAAATTCATGGAATTGGGGAAATCATTGATTAAATGGCATAATTGGATAATTTGAATCATTTGTCTATTGAATTGTAGACATAGTTAGAGGGTTAAATTCATTGATTAAATGGCGTAATTGGGTAATTTGAATCGTTTGTCTATTGAATTGTTGACATAGTTATTTTCAGTTTAGAAATAACTATTTTGGGCTATCAGAGGAGGATAGTCGTGATTGTTGTAGACATTGCATGTGGATTAGGAATAATTGAAACTAATCACATTGGTTAAGTCATTAATTTTGACTGTTGTATTCATTGATTTAGACTGTTGAATTAATACAGAAAATACATGTATTGATTGTGTGTTGTACATGACAAGTGTTTAATACATTGTATATGTATTTTTGTTTGGGAGGAGATAGGGGATGGACTCCATTAGCATCACTTTTATGTGTGCTTATTTATATAGAAGTGTTTTATTGATACAGCACTAAAATGTGTATCAATCTGGAAGTATGAAGTGTTTGATTTGGGCTTGAGTCTCATTTGTTTGTTGATATTGGAAGGATGTGAACATGATATGTGTGATTCACTGTTGTAAGTTTGGCCAGGTTCTGAGCCATGTTGATAAAATTGGATAGTAAAATGTATCTTAGACAATAGTGTCATAAGACAGCAAAATAAAGTAATCTTAGACAATAGTGTCATAAGACTGTAAAATAAAGTAATTGATTATCTTAATTAACCATCTGTTGAATGCTATTGCTTTATTCATTGCTTATATGTGGTTTAGTATATTTCTACTGGGCTGTGGCTCACCCTTTATGGGAACATCATTTTTTCAGGTTCAGGTGATAAACTACCTCCAAGGAATTAGCTTGGGAGGGTTTGGCTTCTGGATGTGATAAGCTACCTCCCAGGACTTAGCATGGAAGGATTTGAAATTTGAAGACTATCTTTAGTTGTTTGTTTTTATTTGATAAATAATCAAGCCTAGGACTTTAATTGTATTTGAGTTAGAACTCATAATTTGTGTCCAAGTGTTGGCTTGGAAAGATGTAAGCCCATAGGGCATTTCATTTGATGTTACATGTAATGTTTTTTTATTTAGTAATACTCTGATGAACGAATTAATAGATTGTTTTCTTTAAATAATGCATGTTGATGATATACATATATTGGGTTTATTTTGAGGGCGTTATAACTTCGTATCAGAGCGTACCGGGTTTATGCTACAGTTCACATCCAAGCTACAGTTCACAAACCAATACATCCAAGCTACAGTTCACAAAGAGGACTATGAGGAATAGGTGTTAAATGCAGTTTATGCTAGCCCTAACCCATCAGCCAGAGAGACACTTTGGGAGAATCTTGAAGACATGGCGAGGAGTATGAATAAACCTTGGCTTATAGCTGGAGACTTCAACGATTATGCTAACCAAAGTGAGAGAAGGAGCTTCTCTCAGACCCAGAACTAGAACAGAACCCAGAAATTCATTGAAAGGATTAACGACTGCAACCTCATTGATTTTGGAAGTGTCGCCCCTGTTTTACCTGTACAAATAATAGACAAAGACTAGCTAACACCATGAAAAGATTAGACAGAGCAATGAGCAATGATCAATGGCGAGCCCCGTTCCTTGAAGGTACTGTGAGGGCCCTTCCTAGAACCTAACCATTCTCCTTTGGTGGTAGACCACTACCATTCTCCCATTCACAATATCATCTATACATATGCTAGCACATTTTTTCAAAGAAGAGAGAAAAATTCTTTTGTGTGATGATGTTGGTAATGGTACCTTGGCATTGCAAGTGCCTTTCCATTCAACACCAGACTTTTTTTTTTTTCCCTCTTCTTTTATTGAATATGACAAATATAATATGAATAAAATGGCCTTTAAACAAAGTAATTCTAATTACTGTGCATAAATTGTAGTTATTTCAAAGGATGTTTTTCTTTTATTGTAATGATGGTGATGCTTATTAGGGTAATTGGTGGTGGTTGGTGGTGCTTAAAATCTTGTGTTCTGATGGTAGAGATTGGTGGTGGTGGTAGTTTTAGTCATCAATTATTGTTTGGTTTTAAAATATATAAATTTCATTGTTTTGTAATAATGGCTTTTTATGTTATTTTTTTTTTGCTTTTTGTAACTCTTGAAATAAATAAATTTTAATTTTTTTTTTCATTTTTGTACACTTGATTAAAAAATTGAAGACATAAATTTGAAATTAGATACCCTATTTTCACAGTTCAACCTCAATTTTAGAATAAAGAAACTTCTATTATATTTTTTTGGAGTAATCAATTTGATATTTATAATCCTCAATTTGAAAATAAGTACCTAATTTTTGCAGTTGACCTTCATTTTCAATTTATGGATAGGGTAAATTACACTTTGCACCAAATCTCACTTTAGCCCCTACACATGAAATCATCATAGTCAACTCCCTGCACTTCTAGTCAAATTCCACTTTGGTCCCTACATATGAAATTGTGACAATCAACCCCTCTGCACTTTTACTCAAATCTTACTTTAGTCCCTACACAAATGTCAACGTCTCTTTTCTATAACTTTATTTTTAAATCTTTAACAAAATCTAGTTATGTGACAAAAATTGACTACGAAATGAGGGTAAGAAAGGAAAATTATCCATATTTCTTACCAATACACTTTGTTTTATGTGATAGTACATGGGAGTTATATGATACAATATATATATATATATACATATATGTTCGTATGATAAAAATTGGGACGAAATGGCAAGAAAGTAGAGCTTTTGAAATTAAAAAAATGTGACAAAGAAATCAAATAGAAAGAAAGATTAAACACAGAAGACTGTGTTACCGTGAAAAATAGAGTTTCGTGATTTCAATTTATGCAAAATCCTAATTCATGTTCTTAATTGTTCACAATCTGCATTTTGTTTTAGCTTGTTAGACTTATTTATTTTGATGATTTATTTAATTATGTTTTAATTTATTTGGAAGAGAAAAATAGAATCAAAATTTATTTTGATGATTTATTTGAAAGAGAAAAATTGAATCAACATTTATTTTGATGATTTTATGTTTTAATAAAATCAAAATTTATTGTGTCCCATTATTTCTTACCTAAACCTTTATCCTAAATGTTGTTAGAATGTATTTAATATTTGATTAAATCAAGAGTTCAAACAGCCCAAAACAGAGGTTCAAACAGCTCAACACAACAACAGTTCAAAAGCACTACTACAAAAATATATAAAGATCACACTTTTTTGGTGTGATGTATGTTATTTAATCACACCTTTTAAGTTTTATTAAAGTGTGATCTTTGGGAGTGTGATTAAAAATGGTCATTTTTAATCACACCTTTTAAGTGTGCTTAATAACATTTAGATCACACATTTTAAGTGTGATTAAAAATATTTAGATCACACTTGTGATCTTTGAAAGTGTGATTAATAACATTTAGATCACACCTTTTAAGTGTGATTAATAACTAATAAAATTTGTAATAAAAAAAGGATTCGACATATTTAAAAAATAATCAATATTATTTTTGTATGCACATTTGAATAATGTAATACACACTATATACTATATTTTGAATCATAACCACATATTGAACAGAATAACGTCATATATTTCATAAATGAAAATTAAATATTCAAAAGTATATACAAAAGAATTAAATAAAAAAAAAATTAACTGTGCTTACATATATTTAAAAATGAAAAAAACTTTAAAAAAATTAAGTTCTTTAATTCTTGAACCATATTTTGCATCTCTCCAAAAAATTTCTGACCTGAAAAATAAAAACACAAATTAATCCAGAAACCGTTGATGCATATGAATAAACTAAAAAGTTAATTCAGCAACCCAAAATAGGAACATTAATCATTTCTGCTTGATCTTAATCCTTTTGGAAGTAACTTCCCTGTTAACAATTAGATGCCATAGCAGCTCAGTGTCAATGACATTGTAATTAGGAGGTCACTAATGAGCACAATATTTAAAAATGACTGCAATCTTTTAACTGAAAGATTCAAAATAGCACAAAGCAAAAAAATACAGAGAAAAAAAAAATTACGAAACAACAACAACGAGGAGCTTTGAAGCCAAGCAGAACAAATTAATGGTATTTACTAGTTATCATCCCAGCCCACCACCAAGGTTCCAACAAATATGAGTACCCCCCTAACCCTGAACAAAATGACGACACGATGGTTACAATAACATAAAAGATTTATATACACATCTCCACGCATATACATTCATGTAAGTACTTCTATGTCTTTTGATGGGCATATGTGTATATATATACACTATCTATACTATATTATTATATAAAGTGTATAAGTCAGTTGATGTGAACACTTTCTCCGTCACGCCTATTTGATTTTTCAAAAATGCCTACAACAATTGGTAAGTTTAAAAATTGTCATGTGAAACTGATTTAGAAATTTAAAACTCTATTCATCATCTTCGTTCATAAACTATGTATCTTTGCACAAGCATTGTGTGTACACTCAAAGGTTCTACAAAGACCAAAATAATAAATAGAGCACCAAGTTTGGACTTCTAACCCTGTATGTCATCCATAATCACCAAGAAGAAGAAAGCACGGTGCAAATTCATATTGCTTACCTTTCACATGTCTTGGTCCATTATGCTTCTTGTGGGGTAGCAGCTTCTTAACATTGTAATGCCAGTGATGATAGTCAAGAGCATGAAGGACACCCTGCACGCAGCCCGGCTGCTTATTCGTAATTTGCTCATCAGCATCTTCGGTCCACAAGTGTTTTCCCATTTACAACACTACAAGCAAAATCCTTGGAAACCCACTTGCTAAAGGAATTCAGTGACTATCTTCTTCAATCTAATAGACATAATTAAGAAAATACCATGTAAATAAATATGTTGATTGCCTAGCATATGAAATTCAGAAAATAAATTCCAAATTACTAGCAGCTCAAATCACATAAAGCTTGTCAAAAATCTTAGACAGAACAAAAATCAAACACCATGTGAGCAAGGCTTTGACACAACCTTTTCAGGTACCTTGTACAAAATCCAAGCAGCAGCATCACTTACTACAAAATACCCATGTCTAAAAATGGTAATTTTTTATTTGATTTTTCAATTATTTTTTCGTTGTTGGAAATTGCCTGTAAATTTATACAATTACAAAAAATTCTGACAGTGTGCTTAGCCAACCCAAACGAAAAATTCTTCATCAGTTCTTCAATATCATTCATGATACGAGCAAAACAGGAAATCACAAAGATCACGAGAATTGAGTGAAAAGGAAAAAATACTGACAGTGTGCTTACCTTTTGAGTAAATCCAAACTCTTCTCAACTCCTAGTCGTCCAACATGGACTATCAATGGTCTCTCGGGCTCCCCATTGTTGATTAAAAAAAGAACAATATTTGGAGGAAACTCATTACATGGCAAAAAAAGAGATCAAGAAACTCATTAGGTTTGAGTTTATGAAGAGACGTTGACTTACATTGTAACTTAACTCCTAAAATATTAACTGCTATAAAAGAGATCGAGAAACTAACCCAATTTCAATTGTCATAACATGCTTGCGCCTCTTTCCTAAAACTATAATGCACAACTGTGGCCACATATTTTTGTATGAATTAGTTCAATTACGCTAATCATTGGAAGATGAAACTTAGTACATGATCCCATATTATGGCTGCAGTATACATTGATATAGTGTCAAAACTGACTTCTGTTTTTTTGTTTATTTATTTATTTTTTAAAGAAGAAGGAATCCAACAATAAGACAAAGGAAAATGATATACAATAGCACTACTCTAAGATAAGTAGAAGTATCTCAAATTCAAAAATAATTACATTCTATTCTTAAGTTTAAAAGCTAATCTCATAGAGGCCTTGCTAGTCTCACAGCATGTTATGTAACTTAATTATGCTAGTCTCAAATGAATTGTATCTCTTACACATTTTAACACATTTTCAAAACCAGTCCTGTTTTATTAGATAGATATATATATATCTGCATATATCATTAAAGGAAAGAGAAGGAGACACATGCTCTTGTCGCTAAGCCCTTGGGATTTGGTCAAATTAGAATTCCATCATTGTAACCTTCTTCCCAAAATTTGTCACCAAAGATTCTGCTAAAATGACACATTGATATAGTGTCAAAACTGACTTCTGATTTGGTCAAATTAGCTTTTTATGTTTTTGTTCTTCACTTTATTCTCCAGTGGATTCCACAAGTCTTTATAAAACTTTTTAAAATATCACTTAAACCTCTCATCTATATCAAATCAACAAAATTAAACAATAGCAAATGATTTATTTCGATTTCTCAATTAACAGAGTCGAAAGTTTTGATTCGATACTAAATTTACCTTCACCATTAATTTTTTTGATGAGCAAATCACAGATTTAGATTAATCATATTCTGACCTCATTTGGTAAAAATAACCCAAGGGATTGTTTAATTTTCACATATGAGGTATGTTTCGAGTTTTGTCACAATCAAGACCCTTCCTCCTCCCTCAAGATAAGTCTTGATACAAAAAGTAAAAAGTTGCCAAGCAAATACCTAACATGTACACTACATGTACACTACATTTTTCTTCATAATTTCCAAATACCTAACATGTACACTACATTTTTCCTGACTTTTTTTAGAATTCTTCATATCAACGAATTCCTATCGAGTCATACCCTTATCCCCATCATGTATCCGTGTCTATGTTTCACAGAGAGATCCACCATGTTGAAAGAATCAATGCTATTTCCACATCCTAAATGGATTTTTTTTAAAAATAATTACACTCAATACACCATAAGAAAAACAGATCACCTGGAACACATGCACACTGGGTTTGACTTGCCAGAAGAGAAGAATATCATGGTTCTCCACCCATTCATCTACAACAACCAACAATGAAATATCAGATCCCAAAAACAGGAACAAACAGATACCCTAAAATTTGTACAAAATAAACACGAACCCGTGTCACAAACGCAGATCCTTTGTACGTTTTCCACCAGGAATGAATCGTCTAGAGGCACTGGAACTGGGCCATCTATATAGCTCAAACTCCTCTTTTCAAGCATTCTATACAGCAATAGAATCAAAATCTTAAAAACCCATTTAGCCAAACATACAGTGTTTGGATCTTGGGAAAAGAAAATGAAAATAAATAAATAAAATCTTCTCTTATCCATTTCTTGAGGATTAACAATAACAATTACACAAACCCAATTGTGACTAATAATTATATATAATAAAAAAACGAAACCCATAGATTTCAATGACAAATCAATAACTAAATATGAAGCAATATTAGTGCCAAACGGGAGGTCATCATTCATGCCTGAAGCCAATAGTGAACACTCACGAACCGAGGACAACCAAGTCGTTAAAAACTCACTCTTTCTCCATATGAAATCAATAATGAACACACGCACTGAGTACAACCAAGTCCTTAAAAAAATACTCTTTCTCCATATGAAATCAACAAAAAGCCATAAAAAAATCAAACCCTGTCATTGTCCATCAAAAGCCCCCAAAATTCAAGCATCTAGCTACAAAATACAATGAATAATCCTTATCCTAACAATTGGGAAACCAATAAGCCATTAATTTGAGTCTGTGTGTTCACCCACGAAACAATCGCCAATTCACCATATAAGCAGAGATACAAGAATCAAACACCAATTCAACTCAATTTCATAGCAATTCAACCAAAACCCATCAAAATTCAACAACCAAATCACAAATTCATCGATTAAAACCCAAAATTAAACATACCCACCTGACGATTAAGCGAAGTAGGGTCATGGCTGGCCCAAAAAACATCAAGCAAGGACTCGTAACTACACTCCTTGGGATCATACTGAACCCTAACGACCTCCGAGTGATTCGTGGTCCCAGAACAGACATCATTGTAGCTAGGGTTGTGAAGATAGCCCTGAGTGTACCCAACCTCTCTGTCTTCGTCACTCCAGGAACACCAGATATTAGATCAAACTCAAGAACAGTGAAGTAGTGAGATCAGCTACAGAACAGTGAAAAAGGATTAAAGGAATTTATATAAGGATTAAAGATCAAACCCAAGAACAGAAAAGTAGTGAGATCGCCGATCGCCGCTCGCCTCCGTGAGTGAGAGAGAGAGAGAGAGAGAGTGTTGTTTTGAAACGTAGGCTCTACAAACTTGAAAGGAAATGAAAAAAAAGGTGGGAAAGACGGAAAAAAAGGGAGGGAACTTAAGGTTTTGTTTGGTTTAGATTTTCGGAATATTTTTA